AAAATTTAATTTTTAAAGAGAATTTAAATTTGTGTACCTAACATATCACTTAAGGGAAATTGTCAGAAAATAAGAAATCATTTTCCATTTAAATTACTGATGAAACCGGCTATAAGACCACGATTTGTTTAAACAAGATAAGGAAATACTAAAAATTTTAAAGACCGAATTTTTAAAATAATTTTTTACATAAAAATAAGAAGAAGAAATCACAGTAAGTAAACTCGTTGTATTAAATTTTAAGTAAAGACTTGATTGAAAAATTAAAAAATATATATACCAAAAAATAATTGAAAAAATACAAAAGTCAACAAAAAATTTTACAAATTATTATTTTTCACTTAGAAATTNAAAAAATGCTTGTCGCCAAAATTTACCAAATTTATTAGAAAAAACTGCTTTGGCAAATATAAGGAAATATCGAAAAAAGAGTTTAAAAAAATGGAAATGTTAATTTTTTTACTTAAAAATTGGAAGAATTAAAAACAACAATGATTAAAATGTCGCCAGATGAATTGGAGATATAGTACAAGCCATAGCTGCTATTTTAGAGATTACCACATCTCCTCATAAGACTTCTTCATCGAGTTAACTGCAATTTGAACCAATGACTCTGGCTTACTCAGTGAGCCAAGTGCGCAATGCAAACTACGAGCACCATATGAAAATTACTATTGATATTCTACAGAATTTTTAATTAAAACAGCCTCAAGCGTAATAAAATTGTTGAATATAAATTTATATAAGGAAAGCAAAAAAAACTTTGTTTTTAGCACACAAATTATTACTAAAAATAGAAATAACAAATCAATGAATTGGTTTTTATGTAGGCACACATTATTTTTTTTTATTACATACGACCTTGAGCTCAATAAAACTGTTGAATATAATTGTTATAAGGCCACAAAATAAAAAAAAGAATTAAAAAGAAAGATCAAAGAAATGTGGTTCAAATTCTGAATAAAATATGTAAAAAATTTAGCAAAGTTTTAGCAGTGCGTAAAAAAATGTTAGAGGAATATTATAAAAATAATATTATTTAGAACAAGATTTAAGGTAAACTAAAAGGAAAAATTGAATTTTTTTAATTTAAAAGAAAAAAAATTTATTTATTTTTTTTTTATTTGATAAAAATTAAATTATTTGATTTTAAAGTTAAAAATTAAAATTAAAAAATTTATCCTTAAAATTTTTTTGCGTATGAAGGGGGAGTTTCAGAGTTCAATAATTACCGCTTCAACATAAAAATTAAAAAATAAAAACTAAAAAAAAGTGGAAGAAAGAAATTTTTACTTGAAAATGTGTTTATTTAGCCATTCATAATTTACAGTAGCACCCGTAGTTATTTTCTTACAGGTTTGTGGCCGTGAAGGGTCATTAAATGAAAATTACACAGGAACATGCAACAAAAAAACTACATACAACCAAAATATTTCGCATAATGATAATGAATGAAAATTTTCTGATGCGGGTATACAAATTAGTTACTATCGACAGCATTCTCTATTCTAGCACTACAATAAAATAAGCCAACATCTACTGATATTGTAGGGCAAAAAATGAAAAAAAAAATTACTCTGCACCTGCAAACGTACCCTCCACATTCAAATGAATGGCATGACGATCGGTGCCGCGCTCATTCTCCACAACCAAATAATAGGGACGCGAATCGTGTTCATCGGTGTGTAGAATATGCAAAGTGGAGAGGTAGCAATCCTCGCGTGAGTCCTGCAACATGTCGTCGGCGCGAAAGCGGTCTGTGTTTAGAGCGACAAGCAATCGCAAGTAAAAGTAGGGCGAAAGGCAAACGACGACAGCAATGAAGTGTTATGAAGTTCGACGGTCGGTTGGTTGGTTGGTTGGTTGGTTGGTTGGTTGGTTGGTTGGTTTGAATGTTGCGTGAGTGTGAATTTTCAAAGTTTCGTTGTACGCGTGATGCCAAAGTCAAAGTGATTGACGTGCGTGCCAATGTCAGGCGTGTGAAAGCAGCACAGCACAAGCGACAAGTGCAACAAGTGTGACATGTACGCGTACACATATGTATGTATGTATGTATGTATGTAATGTGGTGTGCCATGCAAGGCGATGTTATGCAACAATTGATTGAGTTAACATGAGCACGAGCGTGAGCATTGACGCGTATAGTGTTAATTGGTAGGCAGGCGGCAGGCATGCGCGCGCGTGTGTGTGTGTGTAGTTGTTGCCGTTTTTGTTGTTAATTACGATGTTCAGTGTCGCCAAGCATTCATTGCTCATTGAGTTGCAAATGCGAAATTTTTGCGTGGTTGTTGTCGTTGTTGATCATTCATGTTGCACAATGCACAATGAATATTGATGTCAGATGTTTGGTGGCCGCAGCAACAAAACCCATTAATGCATCCAATGCGTGATTAACGCACAGATGATAGGAGCAGCAGCAGCAGCAGCAGCCGTAACACCAGAAGTTTTCAATCATTTTTGCGTTATGTGTTGGTTTGCGGAGTTGTTGTTATTTTGCCGTAGTTTCAATTTTATTTGCGGCACAGTGCCATCGGGCAAGTCGATTAACGGTTTTTGTTTTTGTTAGTTTTGTTGTTGTTTCCACATGCACATATGTATTTTGATTAAGGCAACCATTTTTTTTCAATTTGAGTCGAATTTTTTCGTTGTCATTCACAGCATTTGTTGTTGTTGTAGTTTGCATTCAATTTTTGTTGTTGTTGTCGGCAATGTTTTTGCCGCCATTTGGAATTTATGAATGCAGCAGTGTTGTTATTATTTTCCGAATCACAATCAATATGCAGCAGCGTTCACATGAAAAGAAAGAAGAGCAAACAGAAAATGGAAATGAGAAGAAGTGATTAAAAATTTTGCAGTTCATAACAACGTATTGATTGCAACGCAATTGGTATTAAACTTTCAGCTGTATGCGGATAAGATTTTTATATGGTTTTTTGCATTTGCTGACAGTTAGGAACTCACTTTCTTTAAAAATAATACACAAAGCTGTACCTATTCTTGANAAAAAATTTTGCAGTTCATAACAACGTATTGATTGCAACGCAATTGGTATTAAACTTTCAGCTGTATGCTGATAAGATTTTTATATGGTTTTTTGCATTTGCTGACAGTTAGGAACTCACTTTCTTTAAAAATAATACACAAAGCTGTACCTATTCTTGACTAAGTCAGAGAAACAACTTTCACAACATCCATTGACTAATTGAGTTTCTCAAAATCAGCTAATGTATTAAAGCTTAAAAATTTGCAGAACTCTATGCAAATAAGCTTTTTCAGCTTTTGTTCTCAGAACTTAAAAGAACTTCTAAATGCCGGGACATTTCCTTTTTCTCGCAGAATTTTACGCTAATAGCCTTTTCCTAGAAGCTAAAATATTCTGTTATGTTCTCAGTAATTAAAAAAAAACTTCTAAATGCCGGGATCAGTGGCGGATCCAGCGGGGGGCGGGGGATTTGGGGGTTAAACTGCGTGTTAGTCAGTAGCGGGCCCACGGTGGTATTTTAATGCATAAACGCCATATTAAAAAACACCTCCCGTGGGTCCGTCACTCACTGACACGTAGTTTAACCCCCAAAACCGCCCCTGGCCGGGATGTTTCCTTTTTACGCAGAATTTATGCTAATAGCCTTTTCCTAGAAGCTGCAATATTCTATTATGTTCTCAGTAATTAAAAGAACTTAAAAATGCAGAGGCATTTTATATTACTTGTCTGAAAAAAAACATTCCCAAGAATTGATGCTAAGGCTTTATCCAGTACATTTGTACGTATATGGATCAGCAGAAGAAATGGTAGAAACCATGTGGGAAAAAATTAGTAAAGTTTGTACAAAAGCCACTCAGTAATTATGTGAAAATAGGCAGAAGGTACGAACATGGCAGTTTAAAAAGTCCACTAGAAATTATATTAGTAGAAAAGTGTGTTCACAAACGGGGCCAGTTTTTGCAGATACGAGTATAGACGATTTCTGATAAAAGACAAATATGTATGTATGTAAATTAGGGCGGGCAAAGTTTTTTTTTGACTACGCGTGTATAGCATTGCATATATGCCGAAGAAACCATGTGTCTAAAATCAATGTGGAATATGCTAAATTACAAAACTAGGTTTCGAAGAAAATGTCAAAATTTTTTTGTCAATGTTTTAAAGAAAACATAAGCACAGAAATGGATCCTCATAACAAAAAACCCCTTTTTAGCATTTTTTCTACAAAATTGAAGTACTTCTTTACGACACTACAGNGGGGTTTGGGGGTTAAAAACTACGTGTTAGTCAGTAGTGGACCCACGGGGAATATGCTAAATTACAAAACTAGGTTTCGAAGAAAATGTCAAAATTTTCTTGTCAATGTTTTAAAGAAAACATAAGCACAGAAATGGATCCTCATAACAAAAAACCTTTTTTTAGCATTTTTTCTACAAAATTGAAGTACTTCTTTACGACACTACAGCAAAATGCTAATAAACTTAGCGGAACCATTCTCACACATAGGCCAAGAATATTTAGTAGCGCCGTAATATTATATAGAATAATTATCCCTTTCCATGCTATGAGCTTTACCTATGGTCTTATTTCCGCCTGTGAGATCTCAGCCAGGCGTCCGTAATTTTTTTCTATGCTCTTGCAACTATAAAATTGGTTCGGTGCATCAACAACTAGTCTTATGTCATGTAAGCAAGGGCGTAGCCAGTTAGGGCAGGGGCAGCTCCCACCACCCTACAGCTACGAATTGAAGAAAAATTTTGAAAAAGTCTAATCGCGTAATCGAATTCGTAATTATGCTCTCACATAAGGCCTGCGTTTTTCATCATTGATACAATGAAGTAAGTACAGCATTAATCATTGACTTTTGTGATGAACAGGATGGAAAACGCCAAAGAGAAAAACACTTCCGCTTCCGTTAAATCTTGTTGTGAATGACTTAGACGAGGTTCCCGAAATAAGAAATATTATTTCTCCCTAAAAGATGTGAAAAACTTTTTTCGCGAATCACCGACTCGCAAGAATTGTGCGCTCCTAATATATCACGTTTGTGAGAAAAAAGATGGTCGGAAAAATATAGGGCTATGAAGAGATTTTCAGTAAATTTTCCTGAAGTTGTGGAAGCTTTAGAAGAGTTGTCAATTCAGAGAAACTTTTCTACAAGAATGTCTGCGTATAAATTGCACGATTGTTTTAATAACCAGTGTTAAACATTCAACGTTGCTGGAACCTACAGCAAACATTTTGCAAATGAAGACGATATACCTCATCGCCGTTGGTTAGTATATAGAAAATATTTTGTAGCTGGTTAAGAATGATCTCCTCGAATGCAGAAGGAGTCACTACAGAGTTGATTAACAAATCTGGTATTATTACAGTCGATCTAGGAGTAGAAATTTCTCTAACACGTTTGGCAGGTAAACAAAAAAACAGAGGCAACCCCCATCGGTCAATGAAAATGAGTACTGGCGACGGTCTATAATAATACCGTATCTGGATTTACTAAGTACGATATGCAGAGTTGCCACCGAAACAGAAATAGAAAAATGTTAACAGTTGAAGTTGTAGATCTATTTAAAGAAGAAAATGAATTTCCACCAGCGATAAATAAATGTATTTCCATTTTGAGTGCTTCTCCATGCACAACAGTGACTGTGTAGCGATCGTTTAGTAGACCTCGTAGAGTAGATACCTGGGTCAGAAGCGCACAACAGGCCAAGAAAGGCTTTCTGGCCTATGCCTCATGAGCGTCCATAGAAAACTCGTTACCGAAAACCGCGATATGATTCAAGCCAAAGAAATCGAAAAGTTTGCTGAAAATCTGAGACGTTTGTTTAGCGTAAAAATGATTAAATAAAAAATATATCAAAAAAATTAACAAGTATATTTCGTTTCTGAAAAATAACATAAACATAGTGTCTGCAGCGCTATCTATTGGGTGAATTTTTTGCAGTAGCATTGCTTCAAGAATTTCAACCGGATTATGCAATAAATACGGCTTTTACAAGTAACTCGAATCTGGTGCCACCTACCGAGTCTCCTAGTAACCTATAGTAGTACCATATATGCAAGGTATAACCTCCGAAAACTTGGCTGAGATCTATATAGTGGTTTTTGAGTTAAGCTCGAGCAACAAAAAACGGCTATAACTTTGCATACATATGTATATAGATATGATAACTAATATCCGCAATATTTGAGTGTTTTTTTTATAGGTCGTTCAGTTAACATAAAACGGAGCATTATACAATAAATAATATGGACATAACAAGTGAAGCGGACAGGTAAAAAATGGCGGTTCTAATTTTCTAGATGCTGCAAAAATATATTTAAACAGTTAGGGTATTCACAACGGTGTCAGTAAGTGTCATATTTTGTACGTCGTTAACTTTAAAAGCTTAAATAAATGTTTAGAGGACTTGAAACCACAACCATATTTTTTGTAGCACAGTGAAAATTCATAATATGACTTTGTTGGTACTTTGTAAACCCCTTAATATATTTTTAACCGTTTAAAGTTTACGACATGCAGCAATACGACACTAACGCGACCGTTGTGAATACCCCAAATACAAAGTCTGTTTAACATCGGTAAATCGTCAGTTATCGGTATAGGAGACATTTTTAGTAGTTGTTTTTGTAATAGAACAATTAAAACGGACTGCAGAATATGCTTGTCCATATACCCAATGCAGTTAGAACTATTCTCACCTATGACGCGTTGGTCTGGCCGGAAGTGTTTAAAGCCCAGCATGCAGCTCTCAAGAAAACGGTAAAGAAAAAAATTGCCATATTTCGTGTGTGAGTCCAAGGAATTTCGATATCTGATACTTCACAGTCTGTTGCCTCATTCCTTCCTCAAGACACAATGGAACGGGCATATACTTCTTTTGCAAACCTGGGTCGCCTTGTGTTTTTTTTTTATAAAAAAACTTTAGAAACCCGTAGTAGAAAGCGCAGCAAATTTCTTAAGAACTGCGTACTGCCGCAAGAAAATTTGACACGATTTTTTCTGCAGCACTTGGTCAATCAGTAAATACTGGGTGGCCGGACTTATTGGCATTCGGAGAAATTAGGAAACAGACAACAGCTCAAGGAAGTCATTTGATACCCGATTGTGTGAATAGCTGCCTTGAGATAATTTTTTGGATAACACGGTGAAAGAAGGAAAGTTGATGGGTTGCTCGTGGCACAGCCGGGATTTTGAAATTGGGACCCAACCGAAAGTCTGTTACGTAAGGTTTCACCACTACATTACTAGGAATATTTCGGAGTGCAACATCATCGCGAAGATAAGCATACATTTATGCCCTAAAGCCTGCCCTGGTTTATTGAACTTTATGCGCTAGAAATCTATATAATCTTACTAACTTATTAGGGCAATTCACAACAGAATTTTTTTGTACTAGGCTCGCGATTTTTTCAGATTTTATTGCTCAACGATGGATAAATTTTTTACCCTCACTTGACTAGACACATCTGACTATCTGCCATAAAAAGTCGAAATTTCTAACAAAGTAACTTAACCCCAGTCGTCGTCAAAATTTAGTATGTTTGCTATGCTTCTAAAACCAAAAATTGTAATCAATTTACACAGTCACCGTGTAAGCAGCAAGCAACTAGTTGTACAATCAGTGGCGGATTTACAGTCTTGGCCACGCTAGGCCCTGTAGTACTAGCTGCCCTTTTCTAAACGTAGGTTATTTAGGTACTACATTTGATTTTAATTTTTTGCCGAAATATATTATCGATAAAATAACAACAATCGCTATATTGCTTACTGCTAACATTTGTCTTTTTATCTCTTGTCGGTGAACAATAGCCAATATAGACCAAGAGCTCATGACCAAAACACTGGGACGTAAAACAATGAAAAAATCGGAATTGGGTCGGGCACATCTTGTTACCATCAGTGTATTTCTTTATCATATTTGCCTCCCCTAATGCCTTGCCGCCCTAGGACCGGCCCTACCGGAACTTAGGGCAAATCCGCTACTGTGAACAATAGCGTCTGTGCCGTCCAATCCACACGTAGATTTAGCGCTCGCAGCAATGACATTTAGCAATAAAGTGGAAGCCTGAATTTGACGTCAACAGAAAGCCCACTGCATTGTGGTCAAAATGGAGAAGATAACGTCAGAAAGGCTGTCACAAGGTGGTGAAATGACAAGAATCGGAATGTAATGCTTTGGCCAAAGATGAGTTGCGCAAATGTGCAAACACGGTTGTGTATTCCCAATTGAAAATATGAAAATAGTCATACTCGTATATACATATGTACTCGTATATTAGGGCGCATCATTCGCAATTCACATTAAAAAAAAAATAAAAAAAATCGGTAATTTTTTTTTACATTGGAACTTTAAAAATTTTTATATTTTAAGACTTTTTTTCGGAAAAATATTGAGATTTATGGCAAACGAACCAATATGACCGTTTATATATATATTTTTTTATAATTAAAATGTGTTTTAAAAAATGTTTTTTCTAAAAACGGACTGACTGACCGAACGAGATTTTTGGAGGTATTTCCAAATCGGTCTAGCTCACGTAAGTCTCAATATGTATTTCTTCGAAATATTTTCGCCCAAGTAATAAATTATAACAAATTTTATGATTCCGGTGGAAAAACTGCAACTTTTTTTTTGGTGCTGCACCCTAATGTACTTTATACATATGTATATACATATGTACTCTTGCGAAAATAGCCGCTGGCATGTGGATCTATAATTTCCACACTGTTTGTGGTAGTGCCATTTTGCTTGTTAGCAAAATGTTGCTGCTATTGATTTTGCGCCAATGTTGTTGACAGCCGATGCTTAGTTGTGCTAGTTGTTGCATAAAGCAGAACGCTACGTATGCTGTGCTGCTGCATGCAATGCATGCGGATATGCACGAAATCACCGTCAAAGGCTTTCAATTTCGATTTGTGGCAATAGCAAAGCTAACACATGCGAATACCCTCGTAAAATTGCCACATAGGCCAGCAGCAGTTGGGATGACGTAGCAGAAGGGCGTGTTTTTAGTATGTATATATCTAAGGAAAATGTGCAATAAAACCGAAAATCCGTGCTTTATGCAATCAATGCGCCAAAAAAGGCAAACCAGCTAACATTCATGTCATGAAGGCCAGCTGTAAGTTGCAAAGCAGACCAAACAAAGACAAAGAAAAGTTTGCGTTCGGAAGGAGTACGGCGAGATGCGTAAAGCGTGGCACAGCATAGTACAGTGAAATCAGTCGTCAGCGTCGAAAGTTGAGAAGGTCGTTAATACCAAAGCACTTATAAGGTGTGTGTGTGTGTGTGTGTGTGTGTGTGTGTGTGTGTGTGCGAAAAGTGCAATCACACTCACAAAAACAAGCACAATCCCACTGCCAACGCCAAGTCACGAATTACCCCTACTCATGCACGGCCGTCATGGCGTATGTGTGTTCTGTGCGCAAAGAAATGATTGCATTTGTGTGCCCACCAATGCTTGTTTGCCTGCACTTCATCTTCTAGCCATAGCTGCACACATAATCGATCGCTGACACAGAAAATAAATATGCCAAAAACCACCAACTGGCGTAACAGCTGGGCAAGCTTCGCAACCTTCTACTATGTAAGCATGCCGATCCCCCGTCAGGCCGTTGAACTGGTTGATTTTATAACTACATTTGCTTGTATGCTCCTTTACTCGTTTGTTTGCTGCTACTTTATGGCAGACAGTGAATGTTTTCGGGTATTATGTGCTGTGAGAAGGCGATTCGGACTCTTTGTTTAAGGAAGTTATACGGGTATGCATGTTCATTCAATCAGCTTCTTACGTACTCAAGCATGCACACTTGCACATATGTATGTCAATATGTTATTTGAATTTCTTTGCAATCGATTTGTGTATAGATTTATTACAGCTAGAGATGGTCGAAAGCTGTTGCTGATTGAATGCATTTTATTTAGTACAACTTCAACGTGATTTTGGTTAACATAATATCTGACTAGTTAAAAAAGAGGTGGCATGTACAAGTTATTGACACTTAAATTTTAAAGTATGACACAATTTAAAAATTAATTTCTAATTTGCATATAAATCAATTTTGATTGCTCGAAAGGCTTCTCTGTGACTTCAAATTGAAAAAAAGCCCTTCCGTCGGAAGCCTCGGAAATCTGAGATTTTTTTTGTACACAACCCAATTAGCTTATTTGAATCATTAAACTATTTCATAAAGCCCATATTCAACTCACCAATTCCTGAACCAGCTTCCAGCCGCAATGATCCCCATTCCCAGGAGACTCGATGTGGTCGTGGATCTGCGCAGACTACCAATGACATACTGGCTGGTTCGCCACGTTTCACTGAAATGGTGTGCATTGATGGATGTGGGCGTAATACTTGTGGAGCACCTGCAATTAAAATAAAAAAATAAAAATTTGATAATTAACAAATTATTTAGTTTCAATTAAGTAAATATATTAATGCAAGTATGCATAGGCTATACAAAAACTATATAGAAAAAAATTTTTTTTTTTTTTCGGCGAGAGCCTCTAGAAAGGCGGGGTCATACTAAAAACTACCACGTATAAGATTGTAAGCCGATTCTAATAGCTTCGGAAGTTGCAACTCGAGTACTTTTGCCACAAGTGCAGACGACGGAATTGCCTAATAAGAATTTCGTTTGAGATTTTGTAAACTGTTTTTTCTATAAAAAAGCATGTGTAAGAGGGTTGCCACTTCTTTGAAAAGTCGAGTTTAATTAAATTATACCCAAGTTATATGAAATATTGAAATATAGGTGTCAAACGAAACAGTTTTAGAGCATTTTTCGTTTCTATATTTACAATAGTTTTAAGGTGTGTGAAGAGGGTTGCCACAGGCTAAAAAGGTGAAATTCAAATTATTCAATAAATTAAATTATTTATCAAGAGATGGATATCAATCGAAATGTGGTTGGAAAGGCTTTATTACTGAACTATATTTAGGAGGGTTGCCACATATTTAAAAAATCAAATTTAACTTAACCCATCATTTAATTGAAATATGTATCACAATGTCAGAAGAAATAGAAATAAAAAGGTTTTAGTTAGAAAATAGTTTTAAAAAGGGTTGCCACCTGTTTTAAAAGTTTAATTTAGTTAACTTATACGCAAGTTATATGAAATAATAAAATATGATTGTACAACGAAAGAGTGTTAAGAAATTTTAGTTTGCGCGTCTAGATTTTTTTTTGTGAGGAGTTTGAAGAGGGTTGCCGTATGTTGGAAAAATTAAATTAAATTTATGTAATAAGCGAAGAGATTTAAAAAAAATTTGCTTTGAAAATAGTTTGAAAGAGGGTTGCCACCCTTTTTGCAAAGTTAAAGTTATTTAAATTATAAACAAGTTAAATGAAATATTAAGATATGCTTGTCAAACGAAAGAGTTTTAAAACCGCCTACATAAGCATAAAAATATTTTTGATTAGGGTTGCCAACTGTTCGAAAATTAATATCTATCTAACAATGTAAATATACATACACTCGCCAGAATATGTATCCGTTGTGTTTTTTTTTTAATATTTGCAATGTTTTTCGTAATAAATTTTTTTCACATAACAAAGTGCAAGTTTTAAGTCGCTATAATCTACCGTTGAGTTTTGAGAGTTTTTTTACTGAAACAATTCGGCATTTTCCTCCATACAAAATAAAACTATCACGCATCCGTTATATGGAAAAAATGAGCAACATCAGCAAAAAAAAAAGGTTAAAAGTTGAAATTTTTGGTGAAAATTTGTTGAATTTTCCTAAATTTTGTAAACACTTTGTATCATTAATTTATATGCCATTTGACGCAGAAGGAACTATGTTTCTATTAAAAATTAACGAAAAAAAAAATATTCCGAAAAACATTGTAATTATTAAAAAAAAACACTGTACGGAAACATATTCTGATGAGTGTATGTATATAATATGCGAAAGCACTTTTTTTGAAACGATATTTCGATGCCAAATAAAAGAACTGGACATGTAGATAGATGTTCAATTTTGAAGAGAGGACTTTATTTGCGGTATAGGTTGATTTGAAATTTGACGCAATTAAAAACGGCGCGAGACCTATCTTCATTCAGAAACGGCAGCATGGATTTACATGAAACATTTAAAATAATTTCTTAAGTTTTATAATAGGGTTGCCACCTGTTTAAACAGCTAAAGTCAATTTTGGCGTTTTAAGACCAGGCGCTTTCACTAGTTCCTGCATACAAGCTAAATAATCTCGGAATATCGAATTTAACAACTAAAACAAAAACATCAACATTGATAAAACATTAAGCCTACAGCAATTTATGTTGCAACATGGTTACCAACGTACAACTTTAACACGAGCTTATATTTCCAACTTCAAATATTTGTTTTAAAGTACAGTTGTNGCAACAACTAAAACAAAAAACATCAACATTGATAAAACATTAAGCCTACTGCAATTTATGTTGCAACATGGTTACCAACGTACAACTTTAACACGAGCTTATATTTCCAACTTCAAATATTTGTTTTAAAGTACAGTTGTATACATACATACATATATAGGTGTGTATGTATGTATGTAGGTTTGTACTTGTTCACTTAACAACTAATGTTTGCAAAAGAAAATGATGCGAAGAAGAATTCACTGTTGCAGCAACACACACAAACGTTATGGTAGTAGCATATGTGAACACACATACATCCGCATGTAAGTGTGCAAATACTCAACAAAGAATTGCATTCAAAATATTCCATTTGCAGACGGTATTGCCATTGCTTGCGGGCATTCTAATAAATGTTGCATGCAACACAACGGTGACACAATGCAAGTCAAGTTATTAAAAAATCATGAGCAACAACAAANAGTGAACACACATACATCCGCATGTAAGTGTGCAAATACTCAACAAAGAATTGCATTCAAAATATTCCATTTGCAGCCGGTATTGCCATTGCTTGCGGGCATTCTAATAAATGTTGCATGCAACACAGCGGTGACACAATGCAAGTCAAGTTATTAAAAAATCATGAGCAACAACAAATGCAAAAAAAAAAAACAAAACAAAATCCTGGAAATCCTGTAAAGCCTAACTGTGAAACAAGCCAACTACAACATGCTTGCAACAAATCTGTGCTTACACATGTATGTATATACATATGCATGTACATATGTATGTATAAGCAACATACCTAGTATGTACATGTGTTGCTGAATGCGAGTGGCAGCCACAAAAACTTGTCAGTGACCGCAAAAAGGAGTAAGGAAAAACACACTCGCAATGCGCATCAAGCAAAACGGAAAATAAAACGAATTAAAAGTGCAAAAGATATTTAAATTTACTGCCTCAACGTGTATGCCGCTCTGCACGCACATAATTTATGAGCTGGTGTTGCAACAACAGCAACAACAGCAACAACAAGTAACTACTACAAAAACCACAAACAACAAATATGATGCCAGCAAGAAGTGGCGCGCACTGCTGGTGTTGCTGCTGCCACTATGGATGGCTACAATAACAACTCTAACAACAATTACAACAAATAAAGCTTTGATAAACTTTTTTCATTAAAAATTTTTTTCAGCTTCACTCTCTCAATTGTTGTTGTTTGTTTTTTACCATCTATGCATTTCCACATTTGAACTTGCAACCAGATAAATTTTCTGCTCAGTTTGCTTGACTGCGGAGTTGAGTTTGTTAGTTGTTGCGGTTTAACTGATGTTTCAACTGTTTTTGTTGTTGAATGTTGGTATTGTTTTTTTTTTGTTTTTTGTTGGTTTTCTCTTTCCCTAGCTGGCGTTCTTGTGATTGTTTGTTTGCTTTTACTGTTGTTATTGTTACTTGCAACTGACCGCAGTTTAGTATCTAATATACATATGTGCTTGTACAACATGTGTGGCAGGCAGCCGGAGCAGCAGCTGGTGTGGTATTGTCTAACTGTATGTCACATGCCGCTAGTATACTCAAACATATCAGAAGGACTAAAGCATTTACTTTATACTCATATAGTATAGTCACAAGACATGCAAGCACCAAAATACACTTATACACCAAATGCAGAAGTGCCTTAAAGGTTTTATCCAACTTACACACCATTTGGTTTGAGATTCTATCTGCATTGGTTGTTTTCATAATCACTAACTTTTCGAATAAATACTCAAACATACTTTTAACACGTTTTGATATTTTTTTTCGCAATCGCTCGTACGAAAGATTTGAATTAGACTTGAAATACCAGTTGGCTGCTTTGGATTTTGAGTGCATTCATTTTGTTGTAGCATACTGCCATTTGTGTAAGCTAGGTATTTACTTAGCGTAAACTATTTTAAGTTTACTAGTAGGAGATCCGACAAAGGCACGACCTTCTGTTTAATGAATGAAATTTGCTTTTTATGAAATTTAACGTGTTAAGAATTATTTCGCGAGTGGGTTGGCTGAAAAAATCCTGGCCAAGATATGTTTAGTTTCTTATTCAAAAATTATTATTATTATTATTTTTTTTTTTAATTTGCACTCATTTGTTTAATGAACAAATTACATATGTATATACCATCAGTTCTGCACCGTCACTGTCAAAAGAAAGGACTTACTTCGACATGTGCAATTATGTATTATTTTTCTGAGTATGGTTGCCACCTATTAAAAAGTTAAAAGATTTTCGCCGTTCGCTGGATTACAAAATGAGATACCAAATGAAAGGGCCTGCCCTTCGCATGTACAAAAGCTTTCATTTTTTGAATAGGGTTGCCACATATTTAAAAATTACTATCTTCTATACATAGTATAATGGAAAGTCGAGATATTTTGACCGCGCTAATCTCAAAAACTACTGATGAATTTATACGAGATTTTCCAAGTAAAATCTGTATCGATAACGATATTTTATCTTTAGTATCTTAAATTCCTATAGGGTTGCCACCTGTCTAAAAAATTATTATATCCGCACTATTCGTTGGATTACAAGAAATGAGTTGTCAAATAAAAGGGTTCGGCTTTTAGATGTTCAAAAGTACATTGGTTTTTGGGTAGGGTTGCCACTTTTTAAGAATTACAAGATCTTCACCGTTTTTTGGACTAAAAACTGAGTTACCAAGTGAAAGGATATGGTCTCTGCATATGCAATAAGTTTTTATTTTTTGTTTGAGTGAGGTTGCCACCTATTTAAAAATTATCTTAATATAATACGCGAGGGCATTTTTTGTTAATGACATTCGATTTGCACAGTACATTCAATTAAAAAAAAAAATGCGGTGTCAAAGGAAAAGGCTTGACCTTCCGATTTGCAGTAAAGTTTTATTTTTCGCAAAGGGTTGCAATCTGTGGGAAAAATTTAAAATGTTCGTTAGATTACAAGAAATTAGGTGTCAAATAAAAGGGCTTTGCCTCCAGATGCGCAATTATATATTATTTTTTAGTAGGGTTACAACCTAGTTAGTTGTCAATCGCATCTTGTTTAATATCTACACATACAGCGCGTGGCGAAGCCTCGCCCATACGAGGCCAGCTAGTATTCAAATAAATACGAATTTTTCAACTAATGAGGTGTATCCTTGTTTTCGTACGAATCGAAAATTTAAAATTTTTGTATAGAAAATTAGATGAGAAAATTTCATGATCTTCTAATATATAAAAATCTCGTGCCACGGTATTCGAGGTCAAACTCCTCCTAAAGGGCTTAACCGCTCTTTATAAAATTTGTTGTGTATAGATGGGAGGTATGAGAATCGGATGTAAAGTATATTTCATACCGCTAGGTGCAGGGGGTGTGGCACCTATCGGGGACCAGAGAAGAATTGCAAAAAAGGACTACCAGTAGCAGAGGGGATATATATATTTACATTGATGGTTCAAAGATGGATCAAGGATTCAGAGAAGGTCTCTACTCGGTGGAACTGCAGGTAAAATAGTCCTTTTATCTGCTGAACCATTTTAGTGTCCTCCAAGTAGATGTCTACGCTTTAAAGAGAGCCGCTAGTCCTTTACCAAGCAGCAAGGATCCAGACGATAAAGCTACTACCTTTGTCGATAGTCTAGTAGACTTGAAAGCAATAGGATCTAAAATAGTGTAATTGGGTGTTGTACGGAAATGTCGTGGCACGTTGGCATCACTGAAACATATAAAAGCCACTCTATGCTGGTCTTCGCACATAGAAATATTGAAGGAAATGAGTCGACTGATGAGATACTCAGATATAGCTCTGAGATGCCAATAAACGAGGCGAATTACTCCTTACTACCACCACTCAGTTATTATGTTATTAAAATGTATACATCAATTGTGGCCATTAGTAATGACTTGAGTAAAGCGAGTTCTCAAAATTACTATGTCCGCGGCTGTATTTACTCACCCACAACTTGCAAGGAGATTGGCTCGGATACTGCAACCCGTTCTTGTCCGTTTATGTAATTAGTTGCACGGCATTCATATTCGCCCTGATAGTCATAGGTCACATTATCGATGACGAGACGTGGCTCACTGCCACGTTCCACAAACTTGGAACCGTGGGCGATTCTGGAAAGGAAAAAATACAAATATAAAAGTAAGAATAGTTTTTGTAGGCTCAAGTCAAATAGATGTATGCACAGTATGGTTGTTAAAATATCAACTCCTAAATTTTGGGTTGGACGTGTGTGGTTGGATTGTGTTCTACGTGCAAAAAAAAAATAGTGGCCGGTACATGGTTTTGAGAAAATTTAAAAAAAATCGCAAAAATTCGACAAAAGCTTAAATTGAAAACAGATAAATTTAACCTCTTGAAATATATTCATAAACTCATTGAATTACAGCTGAACCACATTTTATTGAATTCTTGTGTTTAAAAAAATATCTGTGTTCATATGGAAAAGTAGCTTATGTCGAAAGGCTGGCTTTAGTATAATGCGGCATTCCCTTTATTCTTTAAACGACAAGGAATTTTTTGATGAGACTTAATAAGAATATTGACTTGCTAGTATCGGAACTACTTCTTGCACGTTTATTTGCCAAAAGTTCTTCAACGGCTCAGCGCCAGTGAGTCATTCACAATCGTATGCTGCGAATGCCGATTTATACTAAAGCCAGCCTTTCGACATAAGCTACTTTTCCATACGAACACAGATATATACTTATATATTTTTACAAATCCTGGTAACGACTCCTAAAATTTCTTTTTAAGTTTTGTCATATTTAGTACGTAGAATAAAACAAAGGGTTCATGTTGACATGTTCAAGGACCATCCTAATGTACATAATATAGCTACTTTCATATTTATACCTTTAGTTTGAGTAAAATATGTAGTTCAAAGCAACTTTAAAGGCGCTCCATAATAAAAAAACACCTACTCGCATGCGCTCCAAATTTTTCCCACTCAACACATTCAAAAAGAGCGCTACACTAACAACGGTATATATGTATATATATATGTCTTTATATATATATGTCTGTTTTTACAAAATATTTAATTCTTAATATCTGGCGACGTTTGCATACCGTATTTTTTTATTGCATGTCACATAAGTGATTCTGCCTGTTTCGGCGAGTTGCCGACAAGTGTGCAACAAGCGATGGCTTCGCCTATGTGCACACCGATTGACAGCAAGCCATGTTGCAAGTATTAAAAATTCTTGATTGCATGGCAGCTGAAATGCAATATAAAAATTTTTTATTGAATACAATTTCCTCAGCATTTTAAGTGCACACAGCAAATGGTATTCAAGAAAATAAAAGCGAAATGATTCACATTTTGTGAATGATTTACACATACATACATACATATGTATCTATGCATTAAATGTTAAAACTTTTATGTTCATATTACTTATTTTATTATATTAAAGTATTGACATCGGTTAAAATACTATTTTTTAATTATTTGATTTTAAGTTATTTTAATTTTTAATTTTTTTTATCAAATTTTGTTGTTTTGAAGTATCAAGTTTTACATTTTGTTTGTTTTTAAAGATACAAATATTTTTTAAATTAATTTAGTTCTTATAAACGTATTTTTAGCTTTTTATTTTTGTTCCTTTTTAATTTAATTTAAATTTTTAACTTTCACCGTTTAAGAAAAATTTAATTTCATTTAATTGTTAGAAACTACTGTAATATACTTTTTCTTTTCTNCGTTTAAGAAAAATTTAATTTCATTTAATTGTTAGAAACTACTGTAATATTTTTTCTTTTCTTAATTAAATTTTCAATTTCAATTTAATTTTTAGATTTTGTTAAAAAAAATTTTGAAAGTTTTTTTAAGCCTTCTCTCAAACTTGATTAAAGTTTGTCTTAGTTTAGTTTAGTGTTTTCATTCTAGATTTTGTTCTTTTTTAAGAAAAATATTTTTTGTTTAATTATAATTATTCAATTTTTTTGGACCTTATTTTAACGTTTTTTTTTAATTTTGTTTTTGTTTCTTTTCAATTTTAATTTGATTTTTAGATTTGGTTGCTTTAGAAGGAAAAAAATATATTTCTTTGATTTCATTTAATTTATGTATTATTATTATTATTTTTTTATGAATTCCTTGTGAAGTTCTCATTTTTTTTGTTTTAAAAAGAAAAGTTTTTTTCTATATTAGTTTAAGTTAAGAACAAAATATATATATTTTTTTTAACTTAATCCTTTTAAATTTATTTTTCGGACTATTGTTTTCCGAAGATATTTATTTAATTTCATTTACTTTTTAGAAACTTATTTTATAATTTTTTGAAATTTTATTTATTGTTTTTTTTTTTGTAATTTACTTTTCTTTAAATTTTTAAGCTTTATTTTTTTTAAAGAATTTTTTAATTTTTAGAACGCATATTGCTAAAAGACAAAATAATCATCGCCAAGATCTCCTCGTTAGCAAATCTTTCAATTAGTCTTTCGAAAGATAGAAAAGGCCTTTCAAGATTTTTGTCACAACTGAGGACTGTCTTACGAAAGACTTTTGTGTCTCGAAAGTCTGCGGTGAGTTGAAAGACAGTTGCCAGACCTGCCTTGTAAAATAACACGATTCTTCTAAGTGAGCTGTTTACATTGTCTGTGACGCAACGCTAGACTTCCATAAAAGTTTACTATCTAGGCTTTCACCTAAATACTTTACCTCATAACCCACCAGCGTGCTGGGCCGCTTGTTGTTTCTTTTTAAATGCCAGTGGGTGCCAAAGCACCACAAATGTTATAATTCACTTGGCATAAATATTTTTTTTTTTTTAAGATACCCAGGGATTAATTACCTAAAGAAGTAATCTATTANTAAAATAACACGATTCTTCTAAGTGAGCTGTTTACATTGTCTGTGACGCAACGCTAGACTTCCATAAAAGTTTACTATCTAGGCTTTCACCTAAATACTTTACCTCATAACCCACCAGCGTGCTGGGCCGCTTGTTGTTTCTTTTTAAATGCCAGTGGGTGCCAAAGCACCACAAATGTTATAATTCACTTGGCATAAATATTTTTTTTTTTTTAAGATACCCAGGGATTAATTACCTAAAGAAGTAAGCCAAAAACAATACCCCAAGGAAAATAAGATTAAGATGCGTACTTTTATTTATTAGTGACTGCTGTAAGTAAATATGCGTCCCCTCTTCATTCAAACACATATCACTAAACTGCTGACGCGCGTAATTTACTGTCATTTTTAAGTGGAAATTTACATGCGCGCAGATTTCATTATCCTACAGATTACTTCGCATGACAATCAAGCTAAATGCAATCAACAGCTTAATGGCACCTCGAAGCGACGAAATGATTTGAAACATTTGTTCTTAAATACCCACGTACGTACACACAAAGCTCAACGAGGAGAGGAAAAATCTTAAAATAAAATTGTCATGTTGTGAAATGGTATTGGAAATGTAAGACATTAGAATTGTAACTAAGTTGAAGAGATTATGATTGACTGTGAGCAAATTTACAAAGAAGGATTTGTAACAATGTTAACAAGGGTGTATAAAAACGGTTATGCGTATAACGTATGCTCAAAAGCTCAGGAGTAAAAAAAAACTGAAAAGCCTTAAGTGGTTAAAAGAAAACAAATCAACGTGGTACATATGTTCTAAAGCANACAGATTACTTCGCATGACAATCAAGCTAAATGCAATCAACAGCTTAATGACACCTCGAAGCGACGAAATGATTTGAAACATTTGTTCTTAAATACCCACGTACGTGCACACAAAGCTCAACGAGGAGAGGAAAAATCTTAAAATAAAATTGTCATGTTGTGAAATGGTATTGGAAATGTAAGAAATTAGAATTGTAACTAAGTTGAAGAGATTATGTAGCAAGATTTTTCTAAATTGGAACTACTGAAAAAAAAATCGCATATGATTGACTGTGAGCAAATTTACAAAGAAGGATTTGTAACAATGTTAACAAGGGTGTATAAAAACGGTTATGCGTATAACGTGTGCTCAAAAGCTCAGGAGTAAAAAAAACAATTGAAAAGCCTTAAGTGGTTAAAAGAAAACATATCAACGTGGTGCATATGTATGTACATAAATATGTTTTAATGCGATGCGGTGACAGCTCGCTATGTAGGCGACGAGCAAATATGTAAGTCGATTTACGTAAGACTCTTTAATTTGCAGCACGGATTGAAATGGCAGACTGGGTAAGGGTATGAAGAAATAGCGTTTATTTTGAAATTTGAAAAGGTTCTTGAAAAATATGTATGTATATGTTTAGCTAAAATTTGAGTTTGCGGCTGAGCTATTCAAATTGCCGGCGAGCAGCTAGTGAGGTATGCATGTACAAACTTTTGACCAAAATATGCTGTGAGCTCCAGTGAAAATTAAAATCAAGTCAAGTAAAAGACCCCATTCTTTTGATGAAGACCTTACAAAGAACTTACAAAGGATTACCTCAATATCCTCACCAACGTCTGAAAACAAAAACAAATAAAAGTTCTAAGTAATATACAGGGCGTATGACTAGTCGTTTCGAACTAAGGATAAGCCTGTGTGATGTCAATGAGGACTAGTAGGAAAAGACGAAACTTCAGACCTGACAGAACGCTGAACTGAGACTGCTATGAGATGCCTTCTGATATTGTAACCAAACCATTTGCATAGTAAAATCCTTATATTCCGTGTAAGGGAGCACAACATCGTCCTCAGTAAGTAGCTTTCACAATGACCAACCTAGATGACACTTGATTGCAACTAAGACGCCATCTTTTGAATTTCAAAGGCCATATTCACTCACGGCGTATATTATCTATTGGATCAGGCATTCTTAGACAGAGCTTTCGTGTCGACATTCGCGACAATTTACACTTTCGTCGTTCTTCGCTTTATGCCATGCTGTCATCAAAGACCAGCCACCCGTATCGCGTAAGAAAAGCTCATATTGTCTTGTAAGACCCACATTACTTTAACTGTGGTTAAACTCTTACTTATACGCTTATGTTTTCGCAATATACCTGGATATATATATATGGGTCCATCCATCCATCCATCTTAAATCGACCAACAATTGGAATAGAACATTTTTGATTTAGATGAATTATCGTTGAAACTTTTCTTTAATTATATAACAAAATTCT